GATACCTTCTGATCAAGGTATGTAGATACCTTCTGATCAGGAAGAGATACCTTTTGGGATCAGGGATACTGAAAATACCTTTCTGAGATCAGAGGATACTGAGATACCTTTCTGGGATCAAGGGATACTGAGATACCTTTCTGGGATCAGGGGATGCTGAGATACCTTTCTGGGATCAGGGGATGCTGAGATACCTTTCTGGGATCAGGGGATGCTGAGATACCTTTCTGGGATCAGGGGATACTGAGATACCTTTCTGGATCAAAGGATACCGAGATATCTTTCTGGGATCAAGGGATACTGAGATACCTTTCTGGGATCAAGGGATACTAAGATAACTTTCTAGGCTCAAGGGATACTAAGAAAACTTTCTAGGCTCAGGGGATGCTGAGATACCTTTCTGGGATTAAGGGATACTAAGATACCTTTCTGGGATTAGGGGATGCTGAGATACCTTTCTGGGATCAGGGGATACTAAGATACCTTTCTGGGATCAGGGGATACTGAGTTACCTTTCTGGGATCAGGGGATACTTAGATACCTTTCTGGGCTCAGGGGATACTAAGATACCTTTCTGGGATCAGGGGATACTAAGATACCTTTCTGGGATCAGGGGATGCTGAGAAACCTTTCTGGGATCAAAGGATATAGAGATACCTTCCTGGGATCAAGATATATAGAAATATCCCAATATCCCTTGACCCCAGAAAGGTATCTCACTATCCCTTAAGCCTAGCCCCCTCAATGACTGCAAAAGGCATACTTTTCTAATGCAGGTAAATATCGGTGTCAAAGATGTGCAGCCAGTCTGCGGCGGCATTCACAAGTTATTGCAAGTAAACTAATATCCCAATTTCTCCAATAAAAGTAAACTGGCAGCTACACAGCCCAAAAATAATCAGCTTTCATTAGGTTTAAAGCAGCGTTCGCCAGTTTATCTTACAGAGCCTAGTATCCCAAAATTCGTCAATAGTGTATTTGAAGCCGCTTATAAGTGTTCTCAAATTATATTTATCGGCGATAAAGGTTTGAAGCCGATCGCATAAAGCATTAACAATTTACTAAATGAAATGAGTATTTCCATTTTTCACAATTTCAATAGGCAACTTTGCCCCTACAAAACCTACAAATCAATACAAACGTTTCTCTAAGTAATATACACTAGTAGGGTGTTAAGCGATCGGAAGCTTTCCAATTACTGTACAGAAAACGCTTAGTGATTCTTAATTTGCAAATTATAATTTTTTTAAATTAAAACTTACACACCCAAAATCAAAGAGAAACTTCTTGAGAAAAACAAACCAGCACTAAAAGTCAAACAAATTCGAACAGGTCTGCTACTGTTATTGCTCCGAACCCAACAATCCCAAGTTCATTAACTAAAATAATAATCAAATTTTCGTGTACAAATCTGAACTTAATGGTTACCACCTTGTCCATAAGATGCAGCAACCATCAAATATTGAAGCCGTTCTGAAGAGGCATACTCAAGTTACTTCATGGACAATAATTCTAAACTAGTTTAACAGTAAAACTAACAAATTAGCACCAATAATAACTGCAACCTTCTTTTAAGTAGGATACACTTATGCTGAAGCTTTGAAGCCCATGAGAAGGACTTAACGTACAGAAATGAAATCCGGGAGTAGTCTAATATAAAACACGTAAAATTAGACACATGTGCAACATCTGGGCATCTTTATTGCAGACGATTCGCCGACCAGTTGCTTTATCAACACAAATTTAAGGACATAACTGGAAGATAGTAGAACTATATACAAATGATGAAGTAATCAGATAGCAAAGAGTACCGTAGTCGTGAAGAGCCTGAAGCACAGGCAAGAAAGCTGGCGCTTATATACTGGAGTTAGGTGGTGAGGGATGTGTAGTAGTAGAAGACATTGTCACTGGTAGGCGGGATTCCCCAGTGGAAGTAGGTCATACTCGAGGGACGGGTCAGTAGTAGTTAAGAAGGTTGTGGAGATGTCCTCTGAACCTAGATTCCATGATGATGTAGTGTCTGACTAGCGGACACCTGTACATGTCAATACTTGCACCACACATTCCCTAGTTACTATACACCAGCACTGAAAATCTTGAAGCCAATCAGGGGAAAACATAAAAAAAATATACTCGGGTGGAAGTAGCAGATACACATGCGCTGTAGGGATACAAGAAGTATGTTTTTAGAGTCAGGTTGGTTAAAAATGAAGAGAGTTGCATGAGGCAATGGTGGAGGAAACTCAATACACAGCTTTGAGAGTAGATACAATGCCCAAGAGGCCAAAAATCATTGATGCCAATCAAAGTATTCTAGGAAGCGGGACCAGAAGCAGAGCACCGACCCCCGCCAATGGAACTTGGTGAGGACATATTTGCATGTGTGTGGGGAGAGAGCAACTTTTTATATGGCGGAGTTTTGGAGATTCGAACCGGGGATATACAGTTGCAAAACTGTTCGAAGCTTTATATAACCAGTACGCGTCTCCACATCTGGAGAATTTAAGATCTATTCTTCTTAGCTCTTACAACTCTACTGTTAAGACTTTCGGCAAGATGATTACTGACCTAGGCGTAAATTATCTTGCTGAAATTAGTCCTATAAATAAGTTAAAGTTTGTAAGTGATAAAATAAGGTTTGACTGAACGAAACGTTTTTTCTATATAATTATCAGATTTAAACACCAGTTTCTAGTTATCACAATCTATATTGTGGTTACAATAAAGTACCTGAAAGAAGTCAGTGCTTGTTGATACACACGCATGATCAAACATCTTCCTGTTTCCACATATTTATCTGGTGCCAGATCAACTAGGTTGTAATAGATATTGAGGTCAGCGGGCCACCAAGCAGCAACAGCTTGGTTCACCAAGCAAGCACCAGATGAGAGTAGAAAAAGTATATGAACTCATCAAAGGTATATCAAAGGTGGATACTGCTTGCAAGGCAGCACGTACCAACCCTTGTCTTTAGGATTAAGTTGATGATAGTGTTAACATATATATACAACATTAACGCACTCTCGATAATAAGTTTTTTGTTTTCTTTCAACATTTCATTATATGATTGCATTAAGCATGTACTGAAGTCTTTACATGTAAAATTCTGAACTTTATAACAGTATTTTCTAACAGAAGAAGGAGTTTGCGAAATAAAACCTATATGGGTAACTTATACCCCTGAAAATATTACGTGTTTTGGGTACCTTATCATCTAACTATACAACTTGAGCTGTATACATAATATACTCTTAAAAGCATACAATATTACAGACTTTTTTGCTTTTACTTGCTGGTTATGACACGAGAAATCGTATATGTGTACACTTGAGTGCCAATCTTTTCCACATTTCCAGCTGCCCTGTTGATTATAAGATTAAAAAGGAAGAATTTATCATTGGTTTTCCATTCATATTGCCCTGCTGGCATCTACATACCTCAACCATATTTGGTCCGTGGCCTGGTAGCAAAAGTCCTCGCTTCACACGCTAAGGTGTCCGGATTCGATTCCCGGCAAGGGTGTAAACACTGGGCGTGTTTCCTTACACCGGTTGTTTATGTTCACCCATCAGTAAAATGGGTACCTGGATGTTGGTAGACTGGTGTGGGTCGCATCCTGGGACAAAACATCTAATTTGCCCGAAATGCTCTGCATAACATTGATGTCAGCAAGGTCTGTATACCATGTACTTGTACTTGCAGAAATAATTATTATTATAATAGTGTATCTGTGATATCAGTTCTATTTTGAAGTATCCCATAAATAATTTGGTCAAAATTTGACTTAGAGGATTACGCATTTCAGAACCATAAAATGTAAAAGGAACCGTTGACTTCAAAAAAAAAAAAAAAAAAAAAAAAACTTTTGCCATTAATACTATCTTGTCAATTTGATAAATTTGTTTCTGGTAGTAGTTTAGCAAAACTGTTCTCAGAAAATCTGTAGTTTCCCCAACAGGGAGCTAAGTCAAGAGCGCACTAACAAAGACAAAGAAGTTTTTCAACTGACATTTTAAATTGTTTAATCTTTCAATGAAGTTCTGACTGTTGATGGGAATTAGACACGACCGACCACAGCGACAGACGTTCGGATAATCATTTTGGCAATAATTTGACATTATTTATAACATTATCCATCGTTGTGCGTTTCTGGTAACCCACACATGTAAGGGAGAGACGCATCTGTAGTGTTAAATTCCTAAACTAGTTCAGAGTCCCTTAGAACAACAGTTTAAAGATTTATTAAGTGCTTGACCATATCTTCAAGGGTGTGGCTATTTAAAAGTCTTTAAGTCCCTTTATCACAGTAATTTTTGCAGTTTTTCATTGTAATTCAAGTAAAACTGACCAGACAAATTTTTTAGACAAATCGCGTTACAATGAAACACTGAACAAATTACACAGGAAGCATACCAAACTGTGAAATATTGTCTAAAATCTTCTATAAACTTTACAGGTTGGGAAGATTCTTTTTTTTTTTTGTCTACGTGATGCTGCACCTGGAGAACGCTTAATAAACTAAATCAATATTAGTTCAATGAAAAAAAATACTGAGAAATATAACGCTATTTTGCTGTGATACTAAACCATGGGAGAATACTATAGTTATTCTTTCTAAAGTAAGCTCAACTTAAAGAAAATGAAAATGCAATATGTGGGACGAGGGTCACTCTTTAGTCGGGGTGACTGCAGTAAAAGCAGTCCTCATATTTTCAAAATAAGAAGAGATCAAACATGATTGCCTCCTAATCACCAGGCACTGCATGACCCTCATAAATTAATAGTATTAATCAAATAAGAAGATCTTGTCTTCCTTGCAAAATTCATATTCAAAACAATAATTTTCTTTCACTGCGTACTTAAATTTATTTGATATGAATGAGTGAAAATGCAACAATGTGGGTATTTAATGCAAGTAACATACTATTAAGGGTATATACATAATTATAATATGGAGAGGATTATTCCTTTGACCGTATTGAATTTAATTTTCTTTTCAGAGTCGTGGGCGTTAGAGCGGTCTGTGCGACGTGCCCCGGAGCCCCTTGACTGGGGGTTAGCGCCCCCCAGCTGCCTTACGCCGGCTTCCCTACACAATCTACTGACAGATGGATTCTATGCCCCGTACTCTGCCAATCCAGAGTACCTCTTGGTTGTGGACTGCAGGGCTCCCAGAGCCTTCACCCGGCGGCGCTTGACAACTGCGCGCTGGTGCGGCGCCTTGCACACTGCGCCCCCGCCAAACCTCGTCAACAACATCGTACTGTATGACGATCGACCGCGCACTGCTCGGCCCCAGCCAGGTGACACTGACCCCTTGGCTACCCTCTACCATGACCTCCGACGTCAGAAGCTGGACCCCTTGGTGCTACTGGGAGGGTGGACTGTGCTGGAAGCAACGTGCCCACATCTGTTGGAGGGGGGCGAGAGCGCTCCCACGCCTGACCCCATGCCTTGGTACCCAGCTCAAATAGTTCCAGGGTTGTTGTACCTTGGACACGCGGAGATGGCGTCTGATCCGCAAGTGTTAACGGCTCTGCGTGTCACCCATATTGTGGATGTGACCGAGAGCCTACCTCCTCGCGTCCTTCCTTCTATGAACTATCTCGTCGTTCCTGTACCCGAGGAGCCTGACTGTACTGAAAAAGGCGAGACGAATGGTGGCACTGACCTCCTTTCCTCTCTGCCAACTATCATGGCGTTTGTGGGCGAGGCACGAACCTACGGAGGGTGTGTGCTAGTGCACTGTGATCAGGGCCTTACTCGCGCCGCCGCCGTCGTCATGGGCATACTGATGGCGGAGCGACAATCTACCCTGGAAGATGCCTTCTACTATGTGAAGGGTGCGCGCTCTGCTGTCCACCCCAATGCTGGCCTGCTGCATCAGCTGGCCAGATACGAGACTGTGTTGTTTGGTGCCTCTCTTACCCAGGTGGAAGACCTCTTCTGACCTGCACTCACTATCATCTTCCTCCTCATCCGCTGTCCTGAAACCCACTGCTGCCACCAATGCAGTTCATGATGTTGATGCTATTTATAAACTTTTGTACCGACAATGATTATCTTATTTTAAAATTGAGTCTGCACATATCGGCAGTATATTGCAGCCTTTGGATCCCTGAGGGGTCATCGTCAGCCTTGTTGTCTATAGGACGCAGTGTTAATGACGTCTCTCGATGCTCATCGTCCTTGGTCGGTCAAGTGATACCGACATTTGTTTGTCTTTCATGTTCATAAACAAAAGGAGGTAAATTATTAGTCAAAATTATTTTGTAAATTTTTAAACTTGAGGCCACCACTGTCAATAGTTTGCCCATGTTTAGATTTCGCCTACCTAAATGAGTAGAGTAGGGTTTGAAAGTAGTTCTCTAGGAAATATAATATACTAATTATATTTGTAGATAAAAATAAAAGAGAAACTTACATATAGTTAGAATAATTTATCAATCTGACTATGATATGCTTCGTTATGCAGATGTTTCATATCTGACCACATCTTTATGGGCCCTTGTAGACAGACGATTGCAGCTAAGATTATTGGACAGTTCCTTCATACAACTTAAATCGTAGCTTTTGTCTATTTAACAAACCTTATGTCAGATACATATTCGCACCGAGAGCTATTTCACAATAGTGTCTCGGTAGCATGAACGATGGACTGACAAAGTTTTTCTCACGCCCTAAGTCTCACTGTTGATATTACACATCTACGCTGTTGACAATATATGTGGACGAGGTCAGGTCTGCCACCCATCAGTCGTATCATTGCTAACTGATGGTGTTCTCGTTGCAACAACAGGCTGCTCGAGGGAATCATCCTTTGTTGCAGGTACTAATTATTAACACCTCTTACACCTAGTGTTGTGTTGTATTTTTTTGTATATAACCAGCCGTGGTCAACAGTGGAAACCTCTATGAATGCTAGTCTGAAGTCAGTGGCGCAGGTGGGCTATTACAAGTGCTCGGATCACGAGGACGTATCCAAGACTACCAGGGGGCAATCAAAAACAACTCCTTAGAAGACTCATTCACTACCTGCAACAAAAATTGTGCTACGTGCAAAGAAAACATTGTACACTGGGTGGATTGCTGCTCAGAGTTCCTAGTACCTTTCGATTTAAAAAGGTCTTAAGAAACGAGTACTTGTGTTGTAACGATGCCTCAGCACATGAAGATTTAACATCTTTTCACTCTTGTTAGGCTGGTAACTGTAAATGGCAGTAAATTTAAGTTCACTGTGGTCAGAGCTGTATTGTGACACTAACCAAGAAACAGTGATGGCCCACATAAAATTATCTTTATTACTCTTTCAAAAATACGCCAAAGACCTACCCAGAGGAATTTTGGTGTTTCTAACAGCGACATTGAGTTGGAACACCCGTCTGTTCTTCAAAATGTCTTTGTTGGAAAATAAATCGTTTCACCAAGCGGCGACAGCGAATGCTGAGCCTGGTGTGGTCTGTTAATAATTATCAGCTCCCCACCTCACTGTGTCTTATTTTCTAATACTGATATTAAATACGACTGAATAATGTCAGGGTTACTGTTAGTTTTTTCTATTGAGTGACAGTAAACAGTAAGTTAATCTCCTCTCGTGCTTCTAGTTGTTCATTTACGTCAGTTATAGTTATAGATGCCTGACTGTTGTATCTAGTTTCACCTTATATTCATGCCTCTTGATAACTAAAGAAACATCAGAAGTCGTTTTATTTACATTTTGCCTCTATGCTTTTCTTGCAGAGATTAAACTTTCTTAATACATACCAAAATGTTCTTGGATTCCACTGCATGTGTTCCAGGACTCTACTGCATATGCTCTTGAATGCCACTGCATATGTTCATGGAATCTATCGAACGTGTCTTGGATTCCGTTGCATGTGTTCTTGGAATCTCTTGCAAATATATTTGATTCCTTTACAATGCTATTGGATTCCATTACAGATGCTTTTGGATTCCATTACAGGCGTTCTTGGATACCATTAGATATTCGTCGATCCATTATATACACAAAACTGACCTTAATAGAATAGCATTAGACTAGTATATATACATATATGTGCATTTCCAGAGTGACCAACTTAATCCACAGTAAGAAGAGCACATCAATGTCAAAACAACGGAGGAACGTAGACAATACCTCCGCCTTCCTAAATACGTGTCAAAAGTCGCAGCGTAGTAGCCAGAACATAGTGGAACAAAAGGCAGATCACCTCAAGATTCACCCCCTCTCGTCCATGGAAAGCAAGGAAATATAGCTATCTAATATTTGGTCTGCGAAACATAGCAACCTAACTTTGCTAATCCTGATTCCCAGTCCCTAGACCCATATTGTGCCTCTGTAATCTTTTGACTACCGCCCACGGGATGGATATGGACTGCAAAATAAAGCTATAAAACTAACCTGACTAAAATTTATGTAATATAAAATAATTTACCTATTTAAGAATTTGCATAACTATATTCCATTGTTTTACTTGGGGTGGTGAATCTTGAGGTGTGTGCAAAAAAAGGCTTAACAATATACCGTAGTTTTTGGTAAGTCTCATTAAACTGTCCATATTTAGACTACAAACTTGGGCAATAGTTTACGACCGCTGCTCGACCGATTTCGTCCATTAATTATATTTTTAACTGTAAAATATTAAGTTGCTATTGCAGCTGAGATAGTATTTTGATGTGCAAATTGTAAAAAAAAAAAGTAACCAAACCAGACAATGCCCTAACGTAACCTAATCTTAAGTACGACGTCGGCACTGGAGTCTTTGTTGACCTTCGGCCAGGCGCGTGACAACTAATTACTAAGCGTTGACTAGCTCAGACGTGCTGCTCATCCAAAAATGTATTATTTTCGCTATCTCCAGCAACGACAATTAAGATACTATTTTTGCTATTTCCAAAGATAATAATTTGCACAAGAAATACTTATTCCGTAGCGTTCATAGGTTGTATGTATTGTAAATTTTAAACTAATTCCCGAGTTCCGCCGAGCAGTAGTCTGTACTTTAGCCCAAACTTGTACAGTGAGAGATGTGTATATGGATGCATGAAGGAGTAAAATGGGTGATACTTTTGTATTAATGTCTTGTGCCTGGTCCCTTGTCCTTGCACACATCCCATGCACTGGCTCGTCCGGCCCTTGTGGTGCTACAGGCAAGTCTTGCGTACATGAATAGATCACTGTATGTCACAACCACCTTCACCTGGAACCTCAACCATTATCTCTCCTTCCCTGTGTAACTGCCTATTTTCGAATACCTATTTGAGTTTGCGGACGCGAGCTCTAGCTCTTGGTCTCGCCTTCTGACTTTCGACCGTGAAACAGATTGATTATATTTTCTAAATATTCAAGAAAAATTTCGTTGACCTATCTAGTTCCTGTATCTAAGACTAGAAGGTAGGCTGGCCCCCACTGTAGATAAGCAGAAATATAAACACATTTAAAACAGTTGCCTTTAGAGTGTAGGCACGATTGTATCTAATAGTGCGAGACTTCAGTTGGAGGGCGTAACGTCGACAGGTAAAAGACAACTTCTCGATCACGATATATACACCGTGAGGAGTATCGTAGTGTATATTCGTCGAGACTTTACAGTAATCACTATTTTGGGGATTTGTGTCGATTGGTGATAAACAGTTAACATGCAGATTTTAACATTTAAGAGAAACTTTATCCAAATTAATACTTTCTCTGTTTTTGCGTGAAACTTTGGCGCACAAAAGATCGTTCTTTATAACTGCAAATCACTGAAGGTCCGTCATCCCACACTTCCCCAAGGAAACCAGAGAAAAACTTACGCAAACTCTTAGAAAGGTTACATAAATTATGTTTATTTTCATTTTGCTTAAATTTTAGCGAGTTAAGGTTAGTCTGACAAGTTACTTTTGGGGCAAATAAAACACAGTGAAACCCAAAATCTGAATACGGTAACTATATTTCACTACTGCTTGGGGAGGGGTAAAAATCTACATGTAGCATATTTTTTTTTTATTCGCCGGTACTCTCCGGCCCGGGTCTTTTCCAATAGTGGTGACCCGGCCTATTTGACCCGGCCTATATTTGAACATTAGCGATACAAATAGAAATGTTTTTGGTACAATATACTAACAATTATCAATGGACATGCAAACAAAAATACAAATTTATGATATATTGTATACAAATTAAAAATATTCAAATAACTTTTATCGTGAAAAAAGCTATCAGGCGGCAAACTAAAACATCTTCGAAGAGAAAGGAAGAAAAACCGTTTTGGCACTGTACCGGCAATTGTATTAAGAAATCGGAAAAGGAGATCTATTGACGTAGCGAGCGAAAAACCCGATATAAGTTATTTTTTACTTTATAATTCAGTAGTATAAATCCTAAGGTAGGTTATTTATACCTCAAATTTATTGTGCAATCGATATCTATTGTAAAATTAATGCTATTGTAAAAAAAGACTAACTTGTAATACAAAGATTACTGTAAAACAATTATAAAAAATCTTATTCAAATGACTTGATTTGTGGCGTAGTTATTTGATCCTCGGCATTTCTGATTAACCTACAAGCATAAAAAATTAAATCATAAATAAGAATCCCTTCAAAGTTGTAATAGCTGCGTTAGTTAATATTTTACTACCGGGTTCTTGAACCTAGCGATAGTCATTTTTCATGCACTGGGGAGAAATACACGTATCTCGATTTTTTTTTTTTCGTGCTGCAAAAAAAAGTAATCAAACCTAAATTCAACCTAGTTTACAAGTTAATTTCTAGGGTGGGTTAGGGTGGTTTAATTAGATTACGTTTTACCAAAAAATAGATTTTGTTTCGGCTGTACAAAATATAACTAGCAATATAACTAGCACCATCGATTAATCTAAATAATGTCAGAGAATTTACATAATTAAAAATTTCGGCAATAACGTAAACATTAGCCGCTGCATTTTATATGTGAAGTAATACACCAGTACTGTATTTACGAATCTTTCGGTACGAAGACTTATCACAAATGAACCAAGAATTTAAGTAATGACACGGAGCACTACCAAGCAGGGTTATGACTCATGATACTCCCTTCCCCCAATCAAAATCAATCAAAATCTTTCACTCGCACAAAGCTAACTGGACTAACAGTTTTTACCTCTTCCCCTTTCACTTCACAAATGGTGTACACAGTTTTTCATACTTTGATGTAAGGCTAACCATTATTGTCTTGCATCCTTCCGAAATTGAAGCTGCCGCTCATTTGATTGAAACAGCCCGATAATTTTCAGCATGTATTAATGATGTTGGTAGAATTAAAGACATAGTTAGGTAAACCTAAGGACACTCGCCACTTTAGTTGCACATGTGTCCTTTTACCTAACTTTTAACATAATATGTTAGTTTCTCAATTCTCATAACATTAACCACTGATCATTTAATAGGCCCTAGGACGGACTATGGCTCATTTACATACAGGCGCACGAGTGACTCATATTAATGAGATAAATGAGGATGAGAGTACAAGCCGACGCTGGCAGATGAAGAAAGAACTACTGAGAACTCGTGACTAAGTCTCTGTTGTCACTGTTACTCCTTTTGTACAACACGCTGCTAGGTTGAAAGAGATTTTATGTATATTTCGAAGTTCATATCAATCAAACGGCCAGCATCTCAACTGTGGCGTTGCTTGAAGCTTTTAGACAAGTGGAGTGTCACTACACTTCAAAATTCACATGATTTTATACCAAACAGCTTCTCCCTTTTTTCCGGGTCTGATGAGAGTACTCCTTACCTGCATGTTGGTGCTACCTACGACGTACAATTTAATCACCACAGATCCTGCATGCTGAAGTCTTTTTAGATTGTGCCGTAAATCTTAGCAACATCCTACAAGTTCTATCTCTTGCTTGTAGTGGTATGATAAACGTAATTGGTTATACTGAGAGCAAATAAATTACACTAGTTTTAGGATGCTCGAGGACCTTCTCAATCCATTATACAGTACATGAGACATTTGTAAACTTACAACTAGTGAGTGAGTGAGAGTGAGTGTGTGTGTGTGTGTTACTTGTATTTCACGGCCAATACCTGTACGTAAAGAGTTACGTTTCTCGGGAATTTATCACGTACAATGATCAGCCATTAGTGTTTTGTTGCGTAGTGCCCCTCATTGTGCGCGTACAGTCCAGCAGCTACCCAGACGAGGTCAGTTTGTATAACCTGGACTTAGCACGTTCTGCGACTCTAGTAATCGGCACACATGCACCTGTCTAGCGAGCGGTGGACTGTGGTGTTCTACACGTCAGGAAAATGTCTTCCGGCGTGGATCTTTGTCAGATGACTTGCTCAGTAATAAAGTAACCGCTGTCATACTAATGCCGGGTATCAGTGGTTAAGTAATCGCTTGCTTACCGGCGTTCTATAACTGTGGCTAAGCATCCGCTGGTGTACCCGAGCAAGTTTTACCACCTCACTGAAAAGCAAAAGGATCGCTAAATTAGTAGCCTACGACACCATGCAGTGCGCGGCTTGTGTTTTCAAAGGCAGACTACATTCCTGACTGTGATATGGAGGTGGTGCCCGGTATGTTTGCGTACAGCCTATTTGAGGGAGCTGATATACATGCATATACGTTCTACACAGTAAAACTGCTACACAGCGCATAATTGGCGTATGTCGTACGTGTTCTCTGAGTCATGACATGGTGTGATCACTTGACCCACCAACTAGTGTACCAGCATCAATATCTTTGACGTATATGCTAGGCTGTACTCTTCTAGTAAATACCATTGCTGCTTCAAAACATGAGTCACATCTCATGCGCCCCTCTCAGATTATTATTATATTATAAGGGAAATGCTAAACCCTTAGGGATCATTCAGCTCCAGAAGAATGGGAAATAATCAGGTTTAACTCAAACCAGATGGTAGCTTCTATTCCTTTGATCAATGAAGGTTCCAGCATAGATGCTTAACTCGTGTTCTGAGGTGAAGGGGCCCCTTCCACAGTCCTGAAGTGTGCTTGTTATTCTATTCGTCAGGGACATGTTGAGGTGATTTGTTATATCCTGTGCCGAGTCTTTATGAATATGTCGAGTTGAGACTAAAGGAAAGATTTGTTTCATGTCACGTGAGGAAAATGTAGCCTTGCAGCAACACTGTGGCTAAGATAACTTATGTCTTAGCACGTAGACTAAGGTGACCAATAAAGTCTTACTACTGAGGTTAAGGTGGCCGACAAGTTCTTACTACTGAGGCTATGGTGACCACTAAGGTCTTCGCACTAAGACTAAGGTGGTTTGTAAAGCCCTAGTACTAAGGTTAGTCGACTTGAGAGAGCTCAAGCAAAGCAGTGGGAGATTAAGACTCGTACTTAAGAAGCGATGTATCGAGTCCAAAAACAAGGCTAATGAGACCTATGCTGCGGCTAAGATAATCTATAGAAAGTTATATAGAGTGTAAGGTGATTTCAAGGTCTACTGAGGCAATTTAGTGGCCTGTCGAGTCCGATACTGAGGCGATGCTAGCTGACCTGTAGAAGATATATTTTCCTATTTGCACATGGCCTTTGCCTTTCGGATAGATGGGTGATATATAAGAACAATCTTATCCACAACCATGTTGTCAAAAAAATACAATTATAATTTATTATAAGATGGAACAAACTGTTTAATTCTTTTATAAATGTTCTGTACAATGTTCAGTCATATGATATTACATTGCACACTGTAGCGTAATATCTAAATAATTTTGAAGTCTACTTCCATTAAGGTTTACACGATTAAAGAATACTAACAAAATCTTTTTTTCTTTTACCTAAATAATACAAATAAATGCGTACATACCCTTATTCAACGGTTACAATATTTCTAATCTAATAATTGTTGCCACTTGACTCAGCTTTAGAATGCACGTTTTCTGTTAACGCTGAGATCCTTATTAAGTTTATTTAGGTACAGGTACTAAGTACAGTACAATGATTATACCTAGTAATAAATGTAAATTACTTAGGATACCCCCCCCCCCACCACCAAAAAAACTGACTTATTTCCACTGAGATCGTTGTAATATCTTATTAAGCCTAGCTGTAAGATACAATAGAAATCAGTCATGATTATTACCTTAAAAATTAAAACAGCTAAGTATCTAAACTGTGTGAAATTAGTTACAGTAAAAGGAGGTGCAATAAGAATAAAGTGAACAGAGTTATTTACATGAACATGAAACAGAAAGGATCCTCTTGCACTCTTCACTGGACTCACGAGATCGTAATAACATGATTGCAAGGAAACCACGGTAAGGGTGGGGGTCGAAATCCATGGCAAGTGAATCGTATAACTCCAGCCCAGTGCCTAGAGTTTTACGAATCACTCGCCATGGGTTCAACCCCCCATCCTTACCATGGTTTATTCACTGGAAATTGGTGAGTCTTTATCGGCGAATTTTGCTGAGAAAAAGAAAGTTCATAATAAAAATCTCCGTTTCTACAAGTATTTGTACAATGTATACAGGCCTAGCTTACATCAAAGACATACTACTATACTGAAAACCTCTTGTTCTGCAGAGCATTTCGGGCAAATTATGTCAACTTTATCCCCAAGGATGCGACCCACACCAGTCGACTAACACCCAGGTACCTATTTTATTGATAGGTTAACAGGGACAGCTGGTGTCTTAAGGAAACACGTCCTAATGTTTCCAACGTACCGGGGATCGAACCACGGACCTCAGTGTGTGAGCTGAGTGCGCTATCAATCAAGCTACGGGAGAGATCAATAAACTGAGGAATTCTAGAAATCGAACAATTGATATTTACATCTGATTCTATTTTTTTTTATAAAAGGTCTCTTATTTAAATTATTATTCTTTGTAAATTTTAGTCCACCCTTAATCCTAGTTGAATTATTTACATTTTCTGTAAACATAAGAACGCGTTCAATGTTCAGTCTCTTCAATAAGTTTTTTCAGGTAAACACAAACAGTTACATAGATTATCATACATAGCAGCTTATGTTTAGAGAACCTAGGATAACCCAAAAAAGTCAGACAAAATTACTTTTTTGGGTTCCCTAGGTTCAGGACATCATCTTAAGTTTAGTTTAATATCTTTATTATGCACCCTATACCTATACTGTGGACGGTAGGCAAAGGATTACAGAGGTACATAATGGGTCCAGGGACTGGGCCCCAAAGTTGTGAGAGATGAACAAGGTACCTTAATAAAAGACAGCATTTCACAGTTGCAAAATCAGTCAAATGGGTGACTGATGCAGATGTGTTGAACAGTGAAAATCTCGGTTTTTAATACTGCGCTCAGTGGGTGCCCGTGTGTCACGCAGAATAACTTTTATACTCCTTATACTTTATTTCCTTTGTGGTATATTATCATTAGTTACTTTGAATCGATGAGGACAACATAACCTACATAACAAAATTGTCTTTTTCATCTTGACGCCCAAGAATAACGTTACTCACAGACCCACTGTTAAAAATATCTGCATCAAGTCAACCCTTCCAGGGGATCGCTAAGATGCCGGGAAAGGTCTCTTGATCCAAGGAACTGCAGCTATCCTTCCCTAAGATGGATCAAACCGGATAACCCCATTCCAAAGGTGCCTCCCCGTTAACAGACTAACAATATCAAAGCAGATAATAACTATATAAAAACTGTAGTCTAACACCCAGGTTATTAGAAACGCTTTTGTCATTCGAGTTGTATTTATGGGAGGGTAGGTGATAAAGGCACACCAGAAAAATCCTTGAGAGATCGGTCCTAAATCTACACACCGAAATCACTTTACGAAAGCAAGAGGCAGTTGGATATGCTGAATGTTGAAGACAGAGTAAAACAACTGAAGCTAAATCATGTTTATAAAATTGCTCACGAACAGTGTCCAGAATATCTTGCTGTCAATTTTGTCAAGGTTGGGAACCAAAGCAATCATAGTACTAGGGGGAGAGAGCACAACTTTGTAGTACCCACAGTCAGTGGCCAGGCTTCAAACACCTTTTGTTGTACAGCAATAAAGGAATGGAACAGACTACCCACAAATGTCAAGGCCAGTCATAGCTTGAACCAGTTCAAGAAGACTGCCAAAAAGTGTCTGATGAATGAAGCAACAGAAAGGGAGGGGAATGATTTTCTATTTTTTAGCTAAAATACGTGTAAATTTTACCTTATCCCTAGTAATGACCCTCGTATTGTAGATAGTCGTAATGACCCTCGGGTAGTAGATAGTCTTAATGACCCTCGTATTGTAGATAGTCTTTTTAGTATGATAATAAGATGTTATCTTCGTTATAGAATAATAAGAAAATATTATAACCTTTATATTATAATAATAAGGTAAAAGGACCCCAATGGAAATAAGTCACTCTGTCTGACTTTTTTGGGTTATCCTAGGTTCTCTACACATATGCTGCTATGTATGATAATTCTATGTAACTGTATTGTGTATACCTGAATAAATTTACTTACTTACTTACTTACTTAGGCCTGGCAGACAGTTCAAAATACTCTGAATGAAAAGCATCCATGCAAGAGAACTCATTAAGTGTAAAGGTACCACGACTTTTAAACAACGTTCCTTCATACATAAGGGGAAACTCTAACAGACCCGTCTTCAAGGGGAAACTTGAGTTCCAAAGGACAGTTCTTGTTCAGCCGGAGGGGGCGGTGACCCCCGAAATCTTCCGGTAACATTCAGGTATGAAACAACTGTAATAACCAACAGATATAACTGTCGTGCTTTATAAACATTATTATTATTATAATCAAGGGGGAAGCGCTAAACCCGGAGGATTATACAGCGCCTGGGGGGGGATGTGGAAGGCATTCAGGCTTAATTCGGGGAACTGGAGCACAGATCCAATTCCCTAAATCAAGAGCCCCTCACCAACATCAAGGAACCTTCCTTGAGGGGCTTTATAAACAGAGTCGACTTTTTGAACAAACGTATGTCTTTTATCTTTTATTCAAGTGTATTAATATGATATGGAAGTTATTTTGGAATAAAAGCTAGAGTAACAACCAAACCTAACTGCACATGTTTATGTAGCATATAATAGTTCAGTTATGAAGCTACTAAACATATCTTAGTATTATAAAAAAAAAACATTCATTCATTAGGGATTTGCCGGTACTTCCGGCCCGGGTCTTCTCCAGATGGTAACCCTGCGGTGGCCCCCGGGTTGGGGGTGTCGTTCATCTTTTTTCTGTCTTCTTTCTTGGGCCCTCCGGCTGGAGGGTAACATCATCATCTCTCTTGCGGTGACTTCCCTGGGGGGAGTGTCGTCTCGCTTCGCATCTTCATCAGCAGGCGTCCACTTGGGCTTCATCAGCAGGCGTCCACTTGGGCTTCATCAGCAGGCGTCTCTAGGGCCCAGGGTCTTCGGGCACTTGCCCCATCGAATTGTTGGTTGGGTGGCATGGGCTCTAGGTAAGTTCAGACTTCTACCTAGTAAACAAGTACAGGCTCCATTGGATTTCTTTTTTTTTTTTAAGCGGTGGGGAAGGGAAGTTAGGGGGGGTGAAAGAAAGGAGGGGTAGGAGAGTCGAAAGATGGGAGAGGTAGTGGCGAATCATCGTCTGTATGTGGCGTCGTCATCGAGGCGGCGGGTGGGCAGCCAGGACGGGGATGAAGAGTTCCCAGGTCTCGGAAGGCCAGGTACACCAGCCGGGCTGCGGTGTCTTCTCGGATCGGGTCCCCAGGTGCCATTGGGAAGTGCCTCCGTTGGAGTGGCACCGTCGCGGGGCAGTCGAGAAGGTAGTGCACTAGTGGCTTGGGGACCATCTGGTCACAATGACAGCAGCGCTCCTCTCGCACGCGTTCGATGAGTCTTCTGGCGGTAGGGTAGCCAAGTCGCAGCCGGTGGATCCCGTTCAGACTGATTTCAGAGACGTTTAGCAAAAACGTTGTACATGCTTGGTTTGGTTGGCAATCGAGCGTTGGTTACAATCCAGATTCGTTAAGTTACGGCTTGAAACTACATCAAAAGTTCAAAACTATACCCAACAGGGTGTGATCAAAACCATCCTGAGCAACAGAAAACAGTCAAGATCAACAACACAGAATCAGAACCATCTGCCGATAGAAAGTCGAATTCTACAAGGTAGTATACTGGGTCCCTTACTATTCATATGTTATGTAAATGACGTGCCCATCAGTGACAAGTGTAAGCTTCTGTTGTATGCAGACGACAGTGCTCTGTTAGACTCAAGTAAACACCTACAAGATTTAGCTAATGTACTATCACTAGAACTAAAGTCCTACAACAAATACTAGACAAATTATGGCTACACCTCGGGAAAACAGAAGCCATACTCTGACACGAAAAGTAAACTGAATGTCCAGTTTAATGGGGAACCCATTACTTCAGTATCTTCAATGAAATATCTGGGAGTCCCCTTTGACCCAAGCATGTCAGGAGAATTGACAGGGAACAAAGCGAGTACCAGGCGAGTACCTTTATAGACAGCACAGTGTTTACCTACTGAGGCTCGCAGTACCCTATGCCTAGCTCTTATACAATGCCATATATGTTATTCTTGCTTTTCATGGTACTCTGCCTTAACAAAAAAAATGAAAAACAGACTACAGATCACCCAAAACAAAATGGTGAGATTCATTCTGGACCTGGGTCCAAGAGAGCATGTAGGCCAGGATGAAATGCAGCAACTGGATATTAAAATGGTGTAAAATACCGACAGGTTGTTAGGTAAGACACATATGCAACAGTTCGGTATCTTCATTTCGAAACGTTTCGCCTACACAGTAGGCTTCTTCAGTCGAGTACAGAAAAGTTGATGAAGACGATGTAATCAGTCCATCACCCTTGAAGTTTCGAGGTGGTCAGTCCCTCAGTCTGGAGAAGAGCATTGTGCCTGTGGGCACTGTTGTGCCCCCAGGCACAACAGTGCCCACAGCCAGAAGGATGAATATTATAGAATTAGAAAAATCCCACAAGCATTGATATTGTAATAGCCTGAACGAAATTAACTTGGCAATAATAAAAAAAATCGATCATATTCCGCTATGTCATAGCGGCTATGACATCAATAACTTTATACACAAATATATTGTGAGTGATATGGAAGGCTCTGGCAATTATAAGGTAGCCTTCCAAGGGACAACGTGTCCATTAAAATTGACGAGTAAAGGTAATATTTAGAGCGGAGACTTCTGAAAGTGTATGTAATGGAAACGGGGATCATTAAAATAAACTCATTTAAAGGGGATGCATCTGCAATAACAAGACGGCCTAGAGCAATCATTCTACTCCCCCCGTGTTTGTTTTGCATCCTGTATCGCTTGGTTTGCAATATTTGCATAATATATTTTATATATATATATATATATATATGTAAGCAATGTTTAATATACTCAAAAAAAAATCTCTCCAAATTAGTAACATTTTTCCTATTTTGCCAGAAATCTCCCCTCGCCCCATACACTTACGGAGAAAGGTAAATATATGAATGCATCTGCCCACTGAAGCAATGATAAAGATCAGGGATATACTTCATAAGAAACTTTGACAAACTTAACGACAAAACAGCCGTGGGCGTCTTGTTTCCCAGGCCACTAGAGAGACTGGAACTCGGAAAACTATATGCACATTTTTATCTGTAGCTAGAAAATCATGTGGACAAGAGCTGTATCGAGATGCATGATTTACTACGCACCAGAACCGTTTAGTAATTCGATGTTTGAACCTAAGTTATTAGTTAACTGCCGCTATTACCAATTTTTAGCTATCTGAATAATATTTTGTTACTATATGCCGATCTACTACGATTGTGATTAATTAATTTGCTGTCACTGCAGATATAATAATATATAATTTAAAAATCCAAGAACATTAGTTGCAATCTAAATTATGCTCACAATTTGTTCAAAGTCACAGATAACAAAACAGAAGAATTTTGACAAAACTTTCCTTTATGCTGACCGAAAAAAGGGTTGGTCAAACTGCTATTTCAAGAACTAATTCTTGATGACTATGGAAATACTGAAACCATAGAGCAACAACCACATTCAAAACAAAAGATTATTGGAATTATATCTCACTCCCTAAATATTTCACACAATCCTCGGAATTAACACCACAAACAGCAGTACATGAACAACCACCACTCCCGCGAGGCAGACACCAACTCCCACTTGTTGTGATAGCCACGGTGATCACAACTACTAGTTTCGAATATTTTCCTCGACTATTACATACACTATTACATGGAGCACTTAACCCTGCCTTCACTACTGCACCAGCCACTGCCACAACCACTATAGCTATCACTACTCGACAACAGCACCAAAACAGCCATTAGTAAGACTACACCAATCAGCACTTAATAGCACCAAAACAACCATTAGCAAGACTACACCAATCACCACTTGACAACAGCTACCACCACCTCCACTACAACACTTGGCCAGAAACTCGTATTGATAATCGAACGATGATCCTCGCCAAGAAGCGCCACACAAGGGTGAGGCTCGAGTGATACTACTGAAGATCCTCCCGCTAGTGATGGTGGACATGCTCCCGCCGGTGATGGTGGACATGCTCCCGCCGGTGATGGTGAACATGCCCCAAGTGCCGGATCAGCCAGGCAGTAATGAATACGAGGACCAATGGGCCACCAGCAGCAACAACTAACCTGGTTGACCAGGCAAGTACCAGACATAACAAGCCTGACCCAGGGACGGGTTTTGGGAGTAGGCGCTCTCTCGAAAACCTTCAAAGGTATACACCTATAATTAATGGGGGAAAGCTAAACTCATAAAGACCGTATAACTGAGGACTGCGCGAAGTAGAGAGTAATCAGATTTGATCCGATGGAAGGAAGAGCAGCTGTAATTCCTTGGATCAGGAACCGTTCACAGGTATCATTTCAACCCCTCCTACCTATAAGCTGCAATCAATGTAATGAAGAAAACTATATTTTTCCAGCTGAAGAAGTGTTATGATCTAGATAACTCTGCATCCCTTACTCAAGATAAATTACAAGTATATGCACCTCGCTACAGACGTAGCTATTATTCTGTCAACTTTAACGCTGACCTCTTGATATGAATAAAAATAATTAAAATTAGAAGTAGCAAGCTCTCGATCTGAAACAAGAATATCGGTAATAACCCTTAGAACTTGTAAGTTTTTTTTTATATATATTAAAAGAGAATAATCAAAGCGAACTGAAGAGTTCTTGATATGAACCATGAATAATTAAAACTAACAAAAGAGTAAAAAGTCAATACCGTGGCTGGAACAAATCATAAATAACCTGTACTTCTGGAACATCATCCAACGGTTCCTTTAAGTGTGGGTTATTGGCGAATAAAACTAACTGGTAAGATGTAAATATGAAAAAAATAAATGCAATCAAAATTAGAACTATAAAGCTCTTGATCTAAAACAAGAATAAGGCCTCTTGTCTGCCATCTTCCCCGCCCCAGAGGGGCTCGTGGGAATGGCAGTCTTGTGAGCTGCAGGTGGTAGCAAGCTCCGGCGGCTCTGGCACCATCCCCGCCCTCAGAGGGATAAGAATAATCAGAAGAAATAGTAAGCATTTAATATAAAAAAAGACTCAAACTATAACTACTAAGCTCTTAATATGAAAAAAATAATCAATTCAAAATTAGTAAGCTCTTGATATGAAAAATAAGAGTAATCAAAACTAATAATAATAATAATAATAATAATAATAATAATATAATAATAAATATATAAAAACTAGAATAAAAAAAAAAACTGTTGTGGCTTGCGGTCACTTACGTATTTTGGTAAAATGACACGAATGTTCACGAGCTTGCCCATGCACTAGGGCATTAAACTGAGCTGCAAGAATTTATGTATGCAGAAGTATTATATTTCTCATTTTATCTTTCTCCCTGATGAGCTGTGTACCAACTGCAATTCCTGACCCGCTTCACCGTCTGATGAGGTAGTATATAAACAACCTGCGTGTATATGTTAGCAAGGTGTCATGTATCAAATCTCTCATCACAGTATTTGCACAGATATCGAAGGCATTTAAACATTCAACTAGTCAGCATATGAGTAAATAAGTGGATTGTACCGAGCAATTACGTTAAACTTTTCAGGGCATGAAATGAGTTCAGTTTTCACGAGGCAAAAGAGTAAACCAACTGAAAGCTTCTGTCCCATAACGAAAACCTTCTAGAGTAAGACCCACGTCACGAGATATGTTCTATGACGAATAAAATATCCGCTCCCTGGACTGCTGGTAGTGCAGAGAGGTCGATGAGCTTGCCGAGTCACCCACCTCAGTGGCCTCTGGCCGCCTCAGCTGGTAACATCTCAAGAGCTCACCTGTCTTCAGCCCCTCTACTTCATTAATGCAAGGCCCTTCACATGAAGTCCACTAACTGATCTTGAAAAATGTGGTGTCATTCTATAATTTGTATGACTTAATCATAAAAGTACTCAAGTCTGCATGTATATGAAAATTCTTTTGTTTAAAATAATTCAGAGGGAGAGTGGCTCCGTAAATAAAATGCTCCCGCTACTACACATTTGATCTGGAATTTTGTTTTATCAAATACACGAAATACAGTCAATGTGGAAAAAGAAAAGGACCGACACAATGGTTCCACTGGAACACGAGGTATTGGCCAACATCCCACCAGTGCACCTAAACCTTGAAGACTATGCTTCACCAGCTTTCCCGACGCCCTTCGTTCACATCGTCCGCTGGAGCAAGTTCTGGGGGTGTCTGCCCATCTCCTACAGCTACTCTGCTCACTCCTGGACGCTCTCGCCCTTCCTCACCTTCTGGGTCATATGTGCCATCGGCTTCAACGTCCCACCTTCTACGACTGTATCAAGTCTTCCTTGGGCACAGACGGCCTAATGCTGTACGTGATGATCATGATCGTGTGCGTGATGAGCATCTCGGGCGTGTCCATGCATGTGCTGGCACTGATCCACTATGATGAGTGGATTACTTTCCTTAACAACTGGATGGCCTTCGAGCGAAAGTTTCCTACGCTGACAGTAGGCATCCATTCGTTCCGGGTTGCACTCCCGCTCTTCATGGGCTTCTTCCTCTATATCGCATTTTTCGTGGTGAACATCCTTAACGAGCTGCGCTTTAACCTTATCAACGGCGACGGCGTTGGCCGGATGCTGTCTCTTGTGTATGTGTACGTGATCTATAGTTACACGCTCTCTATGCCCATCCTGTGGGTGGTGATGGCCTCTAAGGTGTTCTCTGTCTGCCTGTGCCACATTAGGAGGGAGCTGGAGTCCCTAATGGAGTGCGTTAAATTAGGTATCCGGTGCACAGCATTGCCCATACAGAAGTGCATCGGCACGGGCGACATGAACCGTTTGCAGGAGGCGGTGTTGGACCTGGCTCGAATCATCGAAGGCTTCAAGGTTATCATGGGCCCCTTCATGCTGGTTATCATCCCTCACCACATCATCTCCCTTATCTGCTTCCTCTACTGGACGTTGGTGTCCATCCTTGACTATACAGACTGGTACTTCCCGCTTAGTTTCGGGCTCCTCTCCGCTCAGGCCATCATGCCCATCTTCTGCGGCGCTATTTACAGCGAGGACGTCCACAATCAGGTAAGACGCCACACTAACTTGTATGAACTTATGCGACAACTACAATTTTAATTCTTTTTATCCTGCGGTTTACATTCACACACAACTTCGCAGGCTGTTTTCATGTAAGCAATGATGATTAATATTGATGTATTCTGTGAAGAAATGCTAAACCATTTTCATATACCACCTGGGGCAATGGGAGGTAATCAGATCTGATCGATGAAGAGAATTGAAGTTCCAATTCCTTGGATAAAGAGCCATTCACCGACACCAAATTTTCCCCATTAAAGGCAAAGATTAATCCAGTTACTTCTTTAATCACTCCATTCAAAATCCCTCATATCCGAATTTACGCATAAATATTTATCTATGACAAACATTTAAGGCAATATTTATTTCTTTTAAAATTCATTTACAACAATGTTAATAACTACTGTTTATTTTTACACTTACATGAAGCACTAAACCTGTGTGGGTCATTCGTCACACTACTGTCTTTGCCAGCCTTCCTCACAAGATGCGCATTATCTCAATACCGTTTCCGATAAAACTTGCAGCCATGTCTACCAAACCACTGATGCATCAGTAACTTCATGAAATACCCAGAGTTAAAGAATCTTCCGCTGAGGAGCAGTCTCTGAGAAGATGGAAAAGTCTGGCTAGACACTCGCTATGAACTTGCTGCCCAGAGCTGCACCACCATGAATATGGCCACCATAACTAGTAAATTCAAAATGAAATTTTTCGGTGAGCATTTTTTAAACAATGAGAGTTTCAGTCTGTGAGAGACTGATTATATTAATAGAGAAGTGCTAAACCCGTAAGGATCAAATCTGACCTGGGAAATGGACAGCAATCTGAGCGTTAGGAGCCCCTCATTATCACCAAAGGAGAGGAATTAGATTAGGAAATGAAATGAAAAGGGGCAGTTGATGGGGATATAAAGAGGGAGTAGAGGGGATTTAATAATATTTCCTACTGTGATAAACTTAGATAGGACATGGGGGATGCCTTTTTCGAGTTAAATGCGATCCAACCCAATCTATCCTCTATATTACTGATTCGTTGACAATATTGTACAATGAGCTTTTTGTACCGTAATTACTGCCATTTCATTAAATTTCAGAAGGAGTCGCTTATTGAGCCGCTCATTATACTGAAAAGTTCCATGTCGGACGGGGCAGCTAAACATAAGGTAAGTTCAATGTCTAAATTCCTTTTCTGGTTATGCTGAATGCCCTTAGTACCGTTTGTCTCAGGCATGTATGCGTGTAATGTTATTAAAAATATCCGTTAATATACCCCAAAGCTTTCAAGTGTTCATAAGTTGAAGAAAGAAGGAGGTAGCTCGTACCTATATCGCTTCATTATTCATAATATCCACAGACTTCGTCTAAAATTGCCAAAAATTGTTAGCCTTATAGACACCATTTTTTGACTGCTTAAATTTTACAGAAGTGAAATTAATAAGAACATAAGAACGAAGGAACACTGCAGCAGGCCTACTGGCCCATGCGAGCAGGTCCAAGTCTCCTACCGGCTTAAGCCAATGCACCCAACCTAGTCAGGTCAGGTCACCTTGACTTAAGGGAGGAACACTGCAACCGTCCTGGTAGCACAAGCTAATCAGGTCCAACTCAAACCCACCCACACCCACTCATGTATTTATCCAACCTATTTTTAAAGCTACACAACGTTCTGGCCTCTATAACTGTACTTGGGAGTTTGTTCCACTCATCCACAACTATTACCAAACCAGTACTTTCCTATATCCTTCCTGAATCTGAATTTTTCTAACTTAAAACCATTGCTGCGAGTCCTGTCTAGGCTAGATATTTTCAGCACACTATTTACATCCCCTTTATTTATTCCTGTCTTCCATTTATACACCTCAATCATATCCCCCTAATTCTACATCTTTCTAGAGAGTGAAGATTCAGGGCCCCTTAGTCTATCCTCATAGGGAAGGTTTCTGATACATGGGATCAACTTGTCATCCTCCTTTGTACATTTTCCAGAGCATTTATATCCATTCTGTGATACGGTGACCAAAACTGTGCAGCATAATCTAAATGAGGCCTAACCAAGTGTTAGGTTGAAGAAAACTGGGACTCTATTATTTATGCTTCTTGATATAAAGCCAAGGATTCTATTAGCTTTATTGCGAACACTTATGCACTGTTGTCTTGGTTTCAGATTACTGCTAAACAGAACTCCTAAATCTTTTTCGCAATCCGTAATATTAAGATCTACATTATTTAGTTTATATGTGGCATGGTTATTGTCCTGTCCAACATTTAGAACTTTGCATTTGTCTATATTAAACTGCATCTGCCACCTCTCCGACCACTGCATCAGTCTACTCAAATCTTCCTGGAGTGCTCTAATGTCCTCGTCAGAATGAATTCGACGGCCTACTTTGGTGTCATCGGCAAACTTGCTGATGTCTCTCTTTATGCCCTTATCTATGTCGTTTATGTATACATGTATTGTGAACAGCAGGGGGGCCCAACACTGACCCCTGTGGAACACCGCTCGTGACGCTTCCCCACTCTGATTTCTCCCCATTTATGCAAACTCTCTGCTGCCTATTTGTCAACCATGCCTCTATCCAGGAAAAAATTTCTCCTCCTATTCCATGTGCCTTAATTTTCCTCAATAGTCTCTGATGTGGGACCCTGTCAAAAGCCTTACTGAAGTCCATGTACACAATATCATATTCATTGCCATGATCTACCTCCTCAAATACCTTAGTGAAAAAAGTTAACAAATTCGTAAGGCAGGAACGCCCTTTTGTAAAACCATGCTGAGATTCGTTGATTAATTTATGCTTTTCAAGGTGGCTACGAACTGCCTCGGCAATTATTGATTCCATAAATTTTCCCACTATGGAGGTTAGGCTTATTGGTCTATAGTTTGAAGCTAAGGACCTGTCACCTGCTTTGAAAATAGGTATCACATTTGCCATTTTCCACTTATCTGGCACCATGCCAGTTTGTAGTGATATGTTGAAAAGATTAACCAAAGGTTTGCTAAGCTCCTCTTTACATTCCTTTAGAACCCTTGCATACAGTTCATCAGGGCCTGGGGATTTGTTAGGTTTTAATTTATCTATTTGCCTAAGGACCATGTCACTTGTGACCCTAATCATGCACAGTTTATTATCGTCCTGTTCCACATAATTTATCATTTCTGGAATATCACTGGTATCCTCCTGTGTAAAAACTGAGAGGAAGTATGTGTTAAAACTTCTACACACATTTCCTTATCACTGTAGTGAGCTGACCCGAGGAACTTTTGAGTGGGCCTATCTTGTCCCTGATCTTACTTCTGTATACCTGAAAGAATCCTTTTGGGTTAGTCTTCGAATCTCTTGCAACTTTAACCTCATAATCTCTTTTTGCTTTTCTAATTCCTTTTTTTATTTCTCTCTTTAACTGAATATATCGATTTCTTAATTGCCCCTCTCCTCTTTTGATTTGCCTATATATGCCTCTCTTTTGACCAATTAGATATTTTAATCTATTGTTCATCCATTTAGGATCATTTTTGTTTGATCTGATTTCCCTATTTGGAACATAATTTGACTGAGCAGCTAGAACTATGCCCTGGAAAGTGTAATATCGGCATCCATCACCACCTACCTGACCCTTAGTCAGGTCATTCCAGTTCAGCCCACCTAAGTAATTTTTCAGTCCTATGAAATCAGCCAAGCGGAAGTCAGGGACAGAGACTTGATTGCCATTATTAGGGGAATTCCATGATATATTAAAACTGAGTGATTTGTGATCACTTTCCCCAAGCTCATCATTAACCTCAAGATTATTAATTAGTGTTTCCCTACTGGCAAGAACCAAGTCAAGGAGGTTATTTCCCCTAGTTGGCTCTGTCACAAACTGTTTTAAAAAACAATCCTGGATCGTATCAAGAAAGTCACCTGACTCTAAATTTCCTGTCAAATTGCTCCAGTCAATCTGTCTATAGTTGAAATCTCCCATTAGCACAACATTTTCGTTTGTAGATGCCTTACGAATTTCGTCCCATAGAAGTTTACTGCACTCCCAATCAAGATTTGGTGCCCTGTAAATCACACCCAAAATTAGTTTTTCTCGGCCCTCGAGAAGCTGTAACCAAACGGATTCAGTGGCTGACGCTTCTAATTTTATATCTTGTCTAACAGAACAATTTAAATTGTCTCTGACTTACATCGCTACTCCACCACCTTTCCTGTTGACCCTGTCAGTGTGGAATAATTTATAGCCTTGTATGTGACATTCAGAGGGCATCTCTCTATCTTTCAGATTGAGCCAGGTCTCTGTTATAGCAATAATATCTATGTTTCCTGCACTTGCAATTAATCTTAGCTCATCTATCTTATTTCTTACACTCCTGCTATTAGTATAGTAAACCTTAAGGGAGCTAGTCCCTTGCTGCCCTCTGCTGTCCCCCTTTGTTTGCTGACCTGATCTATTGTCTTTATTTATAACTTCATGCTGAATGCCTTTTATACATTTACTGTTTCGAACCCTAGTGTTGCAACCTGCTTGTTTCCCACACACACCCATACTTCTATCTTCTATCAGTTTAAAATCTGAATAATCAGGAAATTCTTATTACTTCAGCACATTATATGACTAACAGAAGCTGATAAGAACATAGGAAGGAACACTGCAGCAGGCCTACTGGCCTATGCGAGGTCCAATTCTCCCACCGACTTAAGCCAACGCCTTGACCTTGTCAGGTCAGTCACATCGCTTAAGGGAGGAGCACGACGTCCTGACCTAGTAGCACAAGTTAGTAAGGTCCAACTCACACTCACCCCCATCCACTCATGTATTTATCCAACCTATTTTTAAAACTACAAAACGTCTTAGCTTCTATGACGGTACTTGGGAGTTTGTTCCACTCATCCACAACTCTATTACCAAGCCAGTGCTTTCCTATATCCTTCCCGAATCTGAATTTTTCCAATTTAAAACCATTGCTGAGAGTCCTGTCTATGTTAGATATTTTTAGCATGCTATTTACATCCCCTTTATTAATTCCTATTTTCCATTTATTCACCTCACTCTTATCCCCCCTAATTCTACGCCTTTCTAGAGAGTGCAGATTCAGGGTCCTCAGTCTATCCTCATATGGAAGATTTCTGATACATGGGATCAACTTTGTCATCCTTTGTACGTTTTCCAGTGCATTTATATCCATTCTGTAATACGGTGACCAAAACTGCGCAACAATCCAAATGAGGCCTAACCAAAGATATACAGAGTTGAAGAACCTGAGGACTTCTATTATTTATACTTCTGATATGAAACCAAGGATACTGTTAGCTTTACTGCGAACACTTATGCACTGTTGTCTTGGTTTAAGATTACTGCTAACCAGAACTCCTAAATCCTTTTCTCAATCCGTAATATTAAGATCTACATTATTTAGTTTATATGTGGCATGGTTATTTTCCTGTCCAACATTTAGAACTTTGCATTTGTCTATATTAAACTGCAACTGCCACTTCTCCGACCACTGCATCAGTCTATTCAAATCATCCTGGAGTGCTCTAATGTCCTCATTAGAATGAATTGACGGCCTATTTTGGTGTCATCAGCAAATTTGCTTATGTCGCTGTTTATTCCCTCATGTATGTCGTTTATGTAAATTGCGAACAATGGGTCCGGCCCAACACTGACCCCTGTAGAACACCGCTTGTGACGTGCCCCCATTCTGATTTCTCCTCATTAATGCAAACTCTCTGCTGCCTATTTGTCAACCATGCCTCTACAAAGGAAAAAAATTCTCCTATTCCATGTGCCTTAATTAAGTTTTCTCAACAGCCTCTGATGTGGAACTCTATCGAAAGCCTTACTGAAATCCATATACACAATATCATATTCGATACCATGATCTACCTCCTCAAATACCTTAGTGAAGAAAGTTAGTAAATTCCTAAGACAGGAACGCCCCTTTGTAAAACTGTGCTGAGATTCATTAATCAGTTTATGCCTTTCAAGATGGCTACGAATTGCTTCGGCAATTATCGATTCCATAAATTTACCAACTATGGAAGTAAGTCTTATTGGTCTATAATTCGAAGCTAAGGACCTGTCACCTGCCTTGTAAATAGGTATTACATTTACCATTTTCCACTTGTCTGGCACTATGGCAGTTTGTAGTGATATAATGAAAAGATTAGCCAAAGGTATGCTAAGTTCCTCTTTACATTCCTTTAAAACCCTTGCAAACAATTCATCAGGGCCTGGGGATTTGTTAGGTTTTAATTTCTCTAACTGTCTGAGGACCATATCACTAGTTACCCTAATCGTGCATAGTTTATTATCGTCCTGTTCTACATAATTTATTATTTCTGGAATTTCGCTAATATTTTCCCGAGTAAAAACTGAGAGGAAGTAGGTATTGAAAAGTTCACACATTTCCTTATCACTGCCAGTGATCTAACCTGAGTTACTCTTAAGTGGGCCTATCTTGTCCCTAATCTTACTTCTGTATACCTGAAAGAACCCTTTTGGGTTAGTCTTCGAATCCCTTGCGTCTTTAGCTTCATAATTCATTTTTCCTTTTCTTATTCTTTTTTTTTATTTGTCTCTAACTGAATATATTGATTTCTTAACTGCCCTCCCCTCTTTTGATACGCCTATATATGCCTCTCTTTTGACCAATGAGATGTTTTAATCTATTATTTATCCATCTGGGATCATTTTTGTTAGATCTAATTTTCCTACTTGGGACAAAAGTCTGGGCAGCTAGCACTATGCTCTGAAATACGTCATATTGGCAACCAACCCTACCTATTTGATCCATAGTAAGGTCATCCCAATTTAGCCCAGCCAGGTAATTTCTCTGTCCCATGAAGTCGGCCAAGAGGAACTCTGGAACAGGGACTTGATTGCAGTTATCTGGGTAATCCCATCATATATTGAAACTAAGTGATTTGTGATCACTTTCCCCTAGCTCATCATTAACCTCAAGATTATTAACTAGTGAACCTTTGTTGACAAGAACCAAGTCAAGCAGGTTGTTTCCTTTAGTTGGTTCTGTCACAAACTGTTTCAAAAAGCAATCCTGAACCGTATCAAGAAAGTCACGAGACTTAAGATTTCCTGTCACATTGTTTCAATCAATTTGTCTAAGTTAAAAATCTCCCATTAACACAACATTTTCATATCTAGATGCTTTATAAATTTCGTCCCATAGCACTCCCTATCAAGTTTCAGGGGCCTATAAATCACGCCCAAAATTAATTTTTCACGACCTTCGAGAAACTGCAGCCAAACACATTCTGTCTGATGTTTCTAATCTTACATCTTGTCTTACACAACAATTTAAATTATCACTGACATACATCGCCACTCCACCACCCTTCCTGTTGACCCTATCATTGTGGAATAGTTTATAACCTTGTATGTTGCATTCAGAAGGCATTTCTCTATCTTTCAAGTTGAACCAGGTCTCCGCTATAGCAATATCTATATTACCTGCATATGCAAGTAATCTTGGCTCATCTATCTAATTTCTTAGACTCCTACTATTTGTATAGTAAACCTTAAGGGAGCTAGTCACTCGCTGTCCTCTATCTCTCTTTGTTTGATGAGCAATTGCTTTGCCTTTACTAGCAACTTTTAAAGATATCCCTGGGGTATCCTGGTAACATCTGCTGTTTTCAACCCTAATGCTGCAGCCTGATTGTGGAAAACAAACACTCATACCTCTATAATCTATCAGTTTAAATTCCAAGACAAGTCATCAATAACCCCCTCAATTGAATTGGCTAATGCAACCACTCCAGCCCCAGAGAGATGAACCCCATCCATTGCATGCACATCATGCTTCCCATAGAATTTGTCCCAGTTATCAATGAATGGGATTGTAAGTTCCTTGCAGTACCTGTCTAGCCAGCAATTTATACCAATTGCCCTAGACATCCATTCATTGTCCATTCCCCGTCTAGGCAAGATGGTACATATGATTGGGATCCCTCCCTTAGACCTGACAACTTCCATGGCTGACCTGCACTTATCCAGTAGCTCCTGTCTCCTTCCCTTCCTGATGTCATTTCCACCAGCACTGAGACAGACAATGGGCTTGTCCCCATTACCTGACATAATATTATCCAACCTACTGACTATGTCACCAACACTAGCTCCTGGGAGGCACACCCTCTGTCTGACCTTCCTATCTCTGTTACAAAAAGCACGGTCCATATATCTTACCTGGGAATATCCTACAATTAGAATATTCTTACCTTGATTAGTAGGGGAGTCTGTAGTACCTTTAACTTCACTAACCACTGAAGTACAATCGTCCTGGAGAACAGAGAATCGATTTCCTACCTTCACATCTTCTCTATTAACCTTCCTTATCTTCATTCTTCCTGAATTGTGAACCACTTGCCACTTAAAGCGGCTGCAACTCTTTAGCTCAGTGCTTGTATCTTTTACCTCACCAGCACTAACCATATCATACTCACTCCCAAACCCATCTAGGCGAAGCTTCAACCTATTTTCCTCCTGAAGAAGTAGAACATCCTTCTTCAACACTTTAACCTGAGATTCCAAAACACTACAGCAGGCCATGGTACTTAGTAACATCCCACGCTAATTCCCAGACAGCTTAGGACAGTGACCACACGTGACCTCTGACCACATGAGATAATTCTTAGACTCATTCATGTAACTACTGAGTTACAGACTTTTTGTTTAAAAAGCTTGGATACATCAGTGGGCTGCTACCTTATTTTATACGAGTAACATATTGGGAACAAAAACCAGGTATGTTTCATAGTCATTTCCACCACACCGGATAGATTTCATACATTGTGATTAAGTCTATCAGCCTGAGTTGAGAGACTTTAGTAGAAGAGTATAGCGAGACAGGAGAGCTATGAAATAAGACATGTACACCTGGGGACATTTATGTACACCTGGGGACATTTATTAAAGGAAATGCGTCTCACTAAAGAAGACATTCGTGGTGTAACGTTTCCTAAATTTAATAAATTCCTTGAACTCTACTGTAGCTACAGTAGTTTTCAAGAATAATTTCGTTGCAGCAGAACCGATGTGTCTATTACAGCTGAAGAGATTAAAAATGTATTATAGAGGTATACAAACTTCAAATCTGAATTACAAAAAATCGATTTTGAGCTACCTAAAAAAATAAGCACTACAAGAACGCCATCCGTGGTACAAAACTTCAACCTGCTGCCAACAGATATCAGAAATATTGCCAGAACAAGTGCATGTAATAGTCGTCAAAAAGAAAATTTACAACTCTGCAAAGTGCCAGATAAACTAGGTTGTCATAGCTGTGTCAGTCAGCGGGCCACCAAGAGCAGCAGTCTGGTTGAACAGGCATCAACAGAGAATCATAATTATTATAATCATGGAGGAGCATTAAACCCGTAGGATTATACAGCGCATCTGGGGGGGGAGGATGGAGGGTATTTAGGCTCAATTCAGGGAACCGGAGCACAGATCCAATTCCCTAGATCAAGAGTCCCTCACCAGCGTCAAGGAACCTCCCTTGAGGGGATCAACAGAAAAGCCTGGCTCCAGACCGGGCTTTGAGGGTAAAAACATCCTAGAAATCCGTCAGAGGTAAATCACAGGTATCTTCACATATTCGTTGCCATGACGTTGGCGCATTGACGGAAAACCCGCCAAAATTGTCATACCTGGTTTAGAATACAGTTTCAATTAAAAACTGTCTGACGAATGTATATAAACGTTTTGTGGAAAAATTGCATTTATCTGAATGTAACTAATTATGTACATAACAGTAAATAACAAAGATTATTATTATTTATCAATGTTACATAGACAAGTAGGAATTTGGGACACCTAGGTCGCAAAAAATGTCCCCCTTCGATACCTACCACTGTCATAACCACAAATTGCTCTGGACCTATTAAATGAAATATACATACACCAGGAATACTGGTAAATATATAAATTTGTGGACTGTATATTAAAAATAATAAATGGTTATATATATACACAATTACATAACAGAAGGAAAATATATCTTAATATCACTCACCAATTTGACTGGAGATTAATGTGTATCATACTCAGAAAACCTCACTAACTAAATCTATGAAAATAATGCTGGCCAGAATTACACACAAATCTAGAGAGCTTATCTGAGGTTTCTGGAGATGTCTTGTCCAGTCGTCTGATATCTCAAGTTATGCAGGAATGCACATCCACCAATTTCGCCTCCTATTTGAGAGGTGTCAACACAATTTTAACCTCTAGAGCACGAAAAATTCTCCCCATTACACCAACGTTTGTACAAAATTCAAAACCAAGATGGCGAGTCTCCTCTGCACAGGCGCAGGTCCAGTTTCCCAATTTCGATAACATACTTCTTTTAAAAATACAATATAGGGCATCTATTTACCTATAAATTACCGTATTTCCGGAAAATATACAGTATTTTCCAAACGTTTTATGTTTTGAGTCAACATAAAGTGACTTTCTAAAAATATTCTCTAGAACCAAACGGTAAGGAACAATAAACCAGACAACAGCCACAAGAAATCAGCCCGTCTACTTAATCACAAATTCGTGTCACTGTTATAAAAAAAAAAGTCAAATGGGTGATTTTTAAAGGTGTTAAACAGTTGAATTATGACTGAGTTGATAAGATGCGGGTAGTCGGTGCCCATTTTCTGTTCGCGCCGCAGACTTTTTTTTTTAACGTCTTTTATTTTATATTAACAGTTTCTCTGTTATGTATATTTTTTATGGATAGAGCACAACCTAACCTAACTTAGAAATGTGCTGCAAATCCTATGTGAAGAATCTACTTTAATGCTCTGAGAACGGGTTCAAGATATAATGAAGGTTCCTAATAACAATGACGGCAACTATAAATTTAAACTGTACATTACAATAAGTACCATGCATAAAAAAATGGAAAATATATTGACTAATAAGACCTCTTTTATATATATCTCTTGCAGATGACAACCCTGATCGACCACTTGGATCGATTGGACGCCCAAATTGAGGGCCGAGGCTTCTTCACTCTTAACAAAGGCATGGCCACCACGGTGCGTACTCGCTCCCTTCATACATGTGTTGGTAAATGTGTCATTTAATACAGTTTAGTATATTAACAAGTGCTTCTTTCCGCTGCTTAATATTTGGGGAGAAGGTTGAAAGTACTTCCCCTCCCCATATAAACTGACAGCTGATCAGTTCTCGATGAAGAGCTAACAAAAATACAAATCTAGACCAAATTCATTAGACGTTTAACAGACTTTTTACCATATGAAACCGCATTAATACAATTTCAAGTTAATAAATATAGGGTTATTCAGAAGAAAAAAGATCCATCTGTCAAATTAATGTAGTTAACATTAATAAAAAATATACATGATACCTTCGTGGATTTAAATAACTTAAAAAAAAGTCTGGTATATTTCATAGCCACTAGTGCCAAAAAAAAAAAAATTCTCGCGTGCTACTGATTCGCCAGCTATGTTTAGATTATTATACTTATGGGGAGGTGCTAAACCCGAAGTGGCATACAGCGCCTGGGAATGGGAGGGAATCAGGTTCGATCGAAGGACAGGGAGATCATCTCCAATTCTTTGAATCAAAAGCCTCTCACCAGCAACAAGAAACCTTCCTGGAGGGAGTGAGTCTGCATTAGCTGGTTCATTTTTTTCTGAACACTAAAAAAATGTTGGAGGATGAGCTGCTGCAGTGCATTCTCTTAATAACAAGGAGTATATATTGATTGGACCGTCAAATGGGTGACTGTTCAACTAACCTTAAACACTGAATATCTGATCGTGATTTTTTTAGAGCGCATGGTGGATCCCCGTTTGTGTATTCGTGAGCTAAAAACTTTTCATCGCTTCTATATTTCGTTTATTGCCATTGTCATATGTTACAATTGGCTAATTTTTTACTGATTGACGACATCTAACCTAGCCAAACCTAAGCTAACCTAAAGAAAAGCAAATACAGAAATTTGCTGCAAACTGTGAGAACTCTACAGAATTTGAGAGATGGGTTGGTTGATGAGCGAAAGAAGTATGGTGTTGCATGTGGTGTTTGATTCCTAGATGCATTTCACCTCAATCCGATTATTTCACATTTATTTTTAATAATGGAATGTGATAGCATACCTGTGACCCAGTTTCCAGTCCCTCACCTCATTTTTCACACATTCTAGAAATTTTTATACGGTATTTTACTTTATATACAAACTTCATATTTGTTTAAATCTAGTCGCTGTACAAGTAACATACAAGCAAATTACTTGATGTGAAATAATTTGGATTGCAAAACATTTTTATGTTAATATAAAACATATTATTGTGACAAGGGTTTGTTTTGCAGGTTGTGAACACAGTGGTGACGTATTTGGTAGTGTTGATACAGTTCTACGGAGGGGGACATTAATTAACGGCTTCTCTTGCTACTAGATGTACGCTTCCACTGTCACTCCTATGCCCCCAATGGACCTGTACAAACTTGGAAATGCTTAAGGAAATTATTTGACTCAAATACAAATGTAATAAATACTAGTCAATGACAAAAACTATCCCATACCGAGACAAAACAGGAAATGAGTACAGTACTGTACATTTCGACCTTGTACTGAGGCAGTCTTCAGTTCTGTTCTAAAATCCAATGTGACAGACATCCTGCATGTAACTTTATCTCTATTATGTACTTCATGTTGATAATATAGCACTTTCTAATGCAACACCATTTATTATCTCGAAGACTTCTAACTCGTCTCGTGCAATGCTGTAGAAACAAAAGCACCTAGTAATGCAGGTTATAAAGAAATATTTTATCAAACTACTTGTCTTTCTTCGTACTCAGCCTCGCAGTGGCACTGGTACATAGTCAAGTTTTTAGGGTTAACTCCATTCCCAATTAGTATAACTGTTATGAACTTAAATATATAATTATCCTCAACACATGATAATATAAAAAAATGTTAAACGACGGTTCTTGTAGAGAAACGGTTAGAGCACTGGATGAAAATCAAAAGAAGACCAAGAAATAATAGCATATGAGATCAAAAGGTATACCACAAAGTACCGAAATGACAATTTAAATTTTTAGCAACTAGATCACAAAATTAAGTGTTACTGTAAAAAAAAAGAAATGCGGGCTAAAAAAGACAATTCTCAGTGGTGACAAATGTCAACTGCTTCAATATGATGAGAACGAAAAACCACAACACGAGCATCCCCTCAAGGGAGGTTCCTTGACGCTGGTGAGGGGCTCTTGATCTAGGGAATTGGATTTGTGCTCCGGTTCCCTGAACTGAGCCTGAATACCTTCTATCCCCCCATGCGCTGTATAATCCTACGGGTTTAGCGCTCCCCATGATTATAATAACTATAATCAACACTAGCATAAGATATAAAAATCAAACATTTTTCCACAGGATAGTGGGAATAAGCATAAACCCTAGGAATGATACTGTCAAAAGACTACAGTTTAGAAAAAAATTCAAAACAGATTCCACGGTAATAATGGTAAAATTGAAAGCACTTACGCGCTATCGTCTAGAATATACCCAAAACGTACTTTCATCCAATAAGACTTTCTTACGACTTCTATACAGAAAATATTTTAAAGTAATATACCCAATCTAAACACTGCTATAACTTACTGGATATAAAGATTCGGGAGGCTTGAGTAAAACTAGTAAAATGAATATGTTATTACACACAACAGTGTCAACATTCGTGTTCAAAGACTCGTCAACCTTCACCAGCAGATACAAGAATATTACAGGAACATAGGTAGTTTTCATGATTGAACTAGGCAATTTTTTTTCAGGATATGGGCCGTAAGCATCAACAATCTGGTTCATCGGGTATCACCCAAAAAAATGCTTGGCTTCGAGAGAACTTAAAAAACCGTAACAGGCATATGCAAGTATACCAAACAATAAGTCTCTAACCATCAGGATATAAACACCGTATGGTATTTCAGCGTATATATGCTGAATATACTTTAATTTCTACTTTAGGGATAAAAGTATTCTTGACTGGTGGTGAACAGGTTACATGTAGCCTTAATTAATGACCCTCGTTTAGCAGATAGGCTTTAAAAAGGAACTTGTCACATTAGCTGATAAGCAACTTCCAACGGCCATACTATGCCACAGGACTTAATTAATGCCTAATGGACTTAGCTAAAGCCAAACGACTGCATGTAGGTCATAAGAGTGCAGTTTTCATATACATTAACATCATAATAATGCGTTAAAACCAAACTGCAGGTAATAATATAAACTATGTATATTTAAAGATATAGGCTACACATTACGATGTATATACCCACGTTTCAGTGATTTTAACAACCAGATATAACGCCTTTCCATCATTTTCGCTGTATCACTTTGGGGTTTAAACTGATGATGATAATTCCGATAAGTTGCTATGCGCTGACACGGAAATGAGCGGGTCATCAAATGACGGCGACCCGCGTTAGGCGATTTTCAATGACTAATTAACAATAATGAAAACCTTACCTAACTTTACATGTGCAGAAATACTTCCTCGATTGGATATAACAACTCCAATTTCTGCGGGTGAATCTCATCTCTAGAGTAAACAATGGACCAAAGTTCTAAACCTAAAATTCACAAGTAACGCCTCCCCCCCCCCCTTCCGCTGCTGATGCGGAGAGAAGGAAACACTATCCTTGTCAGGAAGTTCAGGGATTCAATTACTGAAGGGACTTGGGGTGGGGGGTAGGAGGATAAGGATATAAATTTTTATGTATATCAGTAATGTATGTCTTCTGCCACTTTCTTATGCTATGATTATAATACTTGATTGTTTATTTAAATCTTTTATTTTTTTCCATTACTACTAATTCCATAACAGCGCTATAGAACTAATACGAGTTCAGAGGTTAATAATAATAATAATAATAATAATAATAATAATAATAATAATAATAATAATAATAATGAAATAATAATGAATAATAGTAAAGTTTATGCCTACTACTCAGAGGAACTCAGGAATTATTACATTTTACACACACACAAAAAAAAAAAATATTTGAACGCCGGATTAAGTATTTCTTGTGAAAATTGTTATTTTGGGAGACATTAACGAAAGTGGCACAATTACTTGGGTTGCACAGCACGGCTGAGCTAATCAAGAGTTAGTATTTTGTCACGCGCCCAGCCGAGTAAGGTTAAGTTAGGTTATGTTGCTATTTTAATTATTTAACGTTAGGTTATTTTATGTTCGAAGAGTTTCATTATATTAATTTTTACTGTTTACGTAACAAAAGCTCATCTGTAAAACTTAATATGGTATAATTAAAAAAAATACGCTAATAATAAACTTAAGACGTACTATTACACTTATTATAAGTAAAAGATAATTTAATAATAAGCTTCTAGGTAATGAATATCCTTAAATCAACAGTAAGTTATCAATGCTGACAATTTACCTAATGCATACATATATGTTTGAAATAATAAATACCATTACAAAGTAACTTATCCGTAGCAATAAAATTTACTTTCCAAGGACGGGGGGGGGAGAGGGGTTTACAAATCTAGCCAATATTAGATATATAAAAGAAATGCAGACAACTTAATTTTCCTTAAAGTTTTTTGAGGGCATTGTATTGTACGTCACGGTGGATCTCTAAACCTATATAGATTATTCAGCACAAATGAATGCTGGAACCTCCGGCCGATAATTGTGAACCGGTGCAGCAGTGACATAATGCTGCAGTCAAGTCTGGTCACTCGTTATTAAGATAACTTTAATTAATTCAATAATAATAACAAAATTCTACTTACATAGTGTTGAATGTGCAGTTGAACGAAATATGCCCGACAAATGTGGCAACTTTGAGTAGACACTGATACTTAATGCACCTAACAAGAGGCTTGAGCCATCTTCCTGTACGTCTCAACGTCTCGACGAAACACTTTAAGTACTGAATAACTAAATACAGCATTTAAAACACTATTGTGTATACACTTTAGTCTTGTTACTTTGCCAGGCGTAAAGCCTACAGGCTGAGTGTATCTTCATTAAGAATATATTTCACTCCTACACTGACACCAAGTAATATTTTAACACTTGGAGTAGGTATTATAGTACACTGTTAGTCTACACACACTGGGAGATAAAGTATCTTCGTCTATATATACAATGCAACGCAAAAAAATCCAAGAGATGACGCAACACGTCCCACCAGCACAAAATAACACAAACTCCCATAATAATGGTGTCCTAGACACTGCTTTCATTGACTGTATTAAATCATTTCCAACACATTTTATACGTATATCCAACGGTTATATGTACAAAATAAAATTTAATTATTCTAAATAATTATATTACATAAAATGGATGAAGTAACGTTTCACTTACCTACTGTTGACTTTTATTATCAAACTAACGCATTGGTGAACGCTGCTAATATTTAACAAGCTTATTAACTACAGCTCGCCCATCAAGGGTACCTTGATGCTCGGGAAAGGCTCTTGTTTCAGGGATTTAAAACTCCTCTATAACTAGGATAAAATCTGAGTGTGTTTCTTTCCCTGGCGCCCTAAATTATTATTCATGGGGAGCGCTAAACCCGTTGGGATCATACAGCTCCTGAGAGAATGAAAGGCATTCAGGCACGATTCAAGGAACTGAATCACAGATCTAATTCCTTAGATCAAGAGCCTCTCGCCAACATCAAGGAAACTCTCTTGAGGGGTTAGGTGCTGTAAAACTCATGCGAGTGTTGCGCTTCAGCAAGAACTTATTCGTTTTTATGGAGAAGCGCTAAACCCGTAGCGGTCATGAATAATTAATTATAGATGATTGTGTACAGCCTAAATGTGTTGCTTGATTTAATTACTTGTTCATATTTTATTTATTTACCTATATTATTTAGAATTATAAAAATATGATATATCTAGCATTCAACGAAAACTTGAAAAATTGAAGTAAATTTAATGGAAACAGTTTTAATAAAAAGAAAAAAAATGCTCATTGTGAGGTATTAGGCATTTCAGTAAATGGGTATTCATATATTTACTGTCCAGGAAATTTACTCAAGAGTTATCTTATAAAACATAACTTGTTTTTAGCAGTTTTCTAGAAGTTTGAATAATGTGTTTGTCTGCCCCTAATTATATTCTTTTCACCACTTCAGATATTTATAATGGATATAAGTAGAATGACATTAAATAATATTAATAATGAAATTATCATTAATTGCATTATTACTTGCAGCACTGGTATATACTTTCTGATATATATATTTTATATTAATATATATATATATATAAAATATATATATATATATATATATATATATATATATATATATATATATATATATATATATATATATATCGTGCCGAAATATGTAAAACTGGTCAAATTAGCAAGAACTCATTTAAAATTAAGCCCTTTCTAAAATTTTCTCTTATACGTTTAAAGATTTTTTTTTCATTAATGTTAATGTAAAAAAAATTTAATTTTGCACCAAAAGAATCTTAGAAAACTTATCTAACCTTATTATAACAAGAGCAATTTATTTTAGCCTAACCCAACTAAATATATTTTAGATTTGTTTACAGTAATTTAATACTAAACAAACACAATGAAATATATTTTTTTCGTTAGGTTCAGAATGATTTTGGCGAAATTATTCCATACACAAATTTTCACTTGTCCTATATGGCAAGATGAACGTTGTTATTTAAGCCAAGATCGCAAGTTCTGCCTATTCGGCACGACATATATATATATATATATATATATATATATATATATATATATATATATATATATATATATATATTTGTATATTTTTGATTATATATATTATTTATATATGATATGTGTGTGTGTTGTGTGTGTGTGTGTGTGTGTGTTGTGTGTGTGTGTGTCTGTGTCTGTTGTCTGTGTCTGTGTGTGTGTGTCTGTGTCTGTGAAAATTACAGATAAATTTCTCATACTGATGGCGATGCTTTGTTGCATCCTCCATCTATTGTTTGGCGTTGTGAAGAGGATGTGGAGTCTTGAGAGGTCTTGGCGTGGAGTGGGTGGAGTGTTAGGGTGAGGAGCGAGCAGTGGCCACAGTCGACAAGCTACTGTCACGGTAGATGAAACAACTGCGATGTCCTCCCATGGATCCTCTGCTTATTCTAAAGTGTGGAGTAACAAAAGTGACACTTCATTCTTAAAGTGCATAGATTGTTAAGTGTTTCCCTTTCTCTACAGCTCAACATTTCCCATCGAAGGAAATTAAAAGAATCGCTTATAATAATACATTTACTACTACCAGCCACCTAAGAATCCGAACAGATGCATATGTCGATGAATATGTTTCCCCACCGTCCAAGCACCTTGGCTGAGCTCCCAGCCATTCCCATTGACCTAGAGAGCTTCGTGGTACGCACCTACCCGACCCCTTTTGTGCACATTGAACGTTGGAGTAAAGTATGGGGATGTCTGTCTATATCCTACAGCTACCCAGACCGCTGCTGGAAGATGTCCCCTTTCCTCACTTTCTGGGTTGTCTGCTTCATCGGGTTCAACTTGCCGTGCTTCTACGATTGCATTATGTCCTCCATCGGCAGCGACAACAGCATTACATTGTACGTCACGATTCTCATTGTAGCAGTAATGAGCATTTCGGCTGTGGCCATGCATGTCCTTTCTCTCATCTACTACGACGACTGGGCAAAGTTTCTCGAGAGATGGATGATCTTCGAACGTAAGTTCAGAACACTGACGACTGGTGTGCATTCCTATCGCCTTGCCATCCCTCTCTATGTTGGTTTCTTGATCTGCGTTATTTTCTTCATTGTGAATATCTTAAACGAGCTTCGGTTTAATTTGATCAATAACGACGGCATAGGGCGGATGCTGTCACTGGTATATGTATACGTGATCTATAGCTTTACATTATC